GGGGCCTCGGCCCACTACACAGCGTCGCGTTTAGCTGAGACAGCTTTGCCACAAGTTGTGGTTTGTAAAAACATCCAGCGGTCTTTAGTCCAGCGCGCGGAGATGGCACCTTTCACGCCCAAACGGGAGGTGTTCATTGGCAAATAGCATGTCGGCGCAGCACACGGCAGGGCACGGGACATTTAGTTTACTATCGTCAAAAAAGTGTCATCCCTAACTAAACGCCCTAACGTCTGTTGGCGGGCAGAATAGGCCTTCGCATGGGCAACAGTTGTGTGAAGCAGGCCGAGCAGGCCTAACGCGAATCGGATACTCCCATGTGTGAAGCACTCACTTCCGGTAACACGTGAAGAAGGCAGGGGTATTTACGGAACTGAACAGATGTAGCAATTCGAAGACCCATCATGGTGGTTGATGGCCCTCCTGCTGTGCTGATCGGGACGGTGTCAAAAGTGTCCCAGTCAGTGGTGTGTACGAAAAAAAAAGTGGACCCGCACAAGATTCTCCCGCCTGCCGTGGTGTCACTCAGTATCATTTTCTGCTACTAAACCTTGCATGTGGGCCGAGGCCCCAGGGCATCAGCGGCCAGGCCGAAAAGGGTGTCCGCAGTAACAATTACCTCTTCCCACTCACCTACTCATGTAGATTCCCCCAAGATTTCTCTTTTTACGTCTCGTGTCTGTACTCCTTTTCCTGCGTCTTCTTTTTCTGTTTTTTTTTCCTTTGGTACTCTTTTACTTTTGATGCATTGACACCCAGTGCCAAGTCCCACTATGCTAGCCGCATAGAGTTTCCTCAACTCCCGAATGTGCACGTGTTCCTGGAGATGTGCAGACACTGGCATTTGAGTTCTGGAGATGTGCAGAAACTGGCATTGAGTTCGGGACATGTGCACAAACTGGCCTCAACAAACACGTCCAGATACAGGCTCTGAGGAGACTTAGTCCTGGACCCCACAGGACAAAATTGTGGAAAAGTCCTGGAAAATATGGCCTGGAAAAACTTTTCCGGGAGTACATCGGAAGAAAGCCGTCTGGAAACTTGATTGTGGGAGGTTCCGGCTGTTTTCGGAGACCCCACCGCGTCGGAAAGTTTGTCCGGAAAAGTGAAGTTCCATGTTTTCACTTTCGTATCGTGGTGTCGTGGCAGCAAGCGAGCATCTTGCGCCGGAATTTTGTGCCATTTCGAGAGGGCAGGGGGGGGGGGCATCTCTCTCGTGGAAAGTTCTTCTGGAAAGTCCTGGTCCAACCGTGGTCCGAGCCTGCACGTCCCGTCGTCGCACGCCACAACCGGACACCCACGAAGTGGTCTGTCGAAGCAGGGGCGGACATCCATGACCACCGCGCGGTCCATTTGCAGTTTCCAGACTTTCCAAGCTCCTGGAAACTGCGTTTTCCAGCCTCTCCTGTGGGGTCCCGCCTTTCCGCAGGGGAACTTTTCCAGACGGGTTTCCATGGAAACCCGAAGTTGGAAACATTTCTGGGGGTTTTCCTGTGGGGTACAGGCCTTAGGCTTGGACACCACTGGCCGGCGGCTGGAAAAGTTTTGGGCTGGAAGGCCTATTTCAGACCCCATCAGGCCACCAGGAAGTGTTTTTGAGGTATGCGAACGTCCGTTTCAGACCCCACTGCTGCCGTCCTGGAAACTATGCTGGCCCTGTTTCTACATGACCGGCGGCTGGAAAAGTCTCTGCCAAAAACCGGCAGTCCTTTTCCAAAGTGCCCTCCAGCAGGCTAGGGAGGGCAAAGTGCCAAAAAGTTTCCAACGCCGCCCGCAAGGTGTGGTGCAGTCCATGGGCAGCACAGACTTGAGGCTGGACCAGGACGAAAAGCTGTGGTCGAAGTTCGTGCCGCACGAGTCCTCCAGGCTGGATATGGGCTGCACCATGCCCCCTGGTCCATACAGCCCATTCGTACTTTCCTTTTTGGGAGGGGCCCGTCTCTGGTTTCCTAATGCGGCAAGATTAGCCGTCTCCAAAACCCCACCAGCAGTTGCCGGTGGGGTCGCGTGGAAACGTGCCAAGAACTTTCCAGCGCCGTTCGCCAGCATTTTGTGGCCAAGTATTTTTTCCAGGTGCCGGCCATTGGGGTCCAAGCCTTAACACTGCCAGTACCTTTCCCAGCCAAAACGCCCACTGCAGACGCGCCGGTTAACACAGAGGCCGGACTCGGCCTCCTGCGGCGGCCCGCTGCTAGAGGGACTTGGCCCCGGGCCAGCGCCCTGGCTTCAATCAGTCACTTCCTTGGCTTCCTGGCGGGAAATTCCTCAATCAGTCACTTCCTGTGCACGGCGGTTTGTGGAGTGTGGCCCTCGGACCTATCCACAAAACAACTTTCTGGAGAGTGCACCGCTTCACGAGTAGACATCAGGTTGACAATTTTTTTTAACTTTTTCTGTAAAAGAAATATAGTGGAGAGTAATTGCAACCAGGCCTTGTAACTCGAAGTTGGCAAGTTCGAGCACGAGCAGCTGCCGTCCCCGCCTGTAACTCACACGAGCTCATAGGTACTTGGAAGGTCTGCTGGTGGAGCTGCAAATCCACGCGAGTGCAGCACGTCAGTCCAAAGAGTGTCCGTCACAAAAGTTTGGATATTTGCGCATGTCAGGCCCCGCACGAACTCGTCTAGCCGTTTTCCGCAAGTGATTTCGCGTGTGCTGCGTGGCTATGGTGCAATAAACGAATTGAAACGGTGATTTTCGTTGCCTCGCGAGGCCTCGCGAGTTCACAGGTAACTGAATCAGTTGCGCTTACAAGAATTAGTCCGCTCTCAGTGGTGTCCTAACTCAGGTCTATATCTCAACATGCCATTTGATTATATATATATGCAGTTCTGTTTGTGACGATATATATATATATATATATATATATATATATATATATATATATA